ATGAATCGGATGCTGCTGAAATTTGAAGACACCAGCTACTTTACAACCCGCTGTGCTTGTTTTGGAAGACTGCTTGTTCGGTCTGTTGGTGTCTTTTTTAGATTTTTTTTTTTATGGTTACCAACTACTTTACAACCTGCTTGCTTGTATTGGAAGACTGCTTGTCCGGTCTGTTGGTGTTTTTTTTAGATTTTTTTTTTTTTATAGTTAGATTAGGATTTTAAGTATGCCAACTACTTTACATCCCACTGTGCTTATATTGGAAGATTGCTTGTCCGGTCTGTTGGTGTTTTTTCTAGATTTTTTTTTTTATGGTTGGATTAAGATTTTAAGTACGCCAACTACTTTACAACCCACTGTGCTTGTATTGGAAGATTGCTTGTTCGGTCTGTTGGTGTTTTTTCTAGATTTTTTTTTTATGGTTTAATTAGGATTTAGGATTGATTAGGTGGTTTTAGTAGAATTTATATTTTTCTAAATTTTAGATTAGGTGGTTTTAGTATTTATATTTTTCTAAATTTCAGCACCTCCTTGACAGTATATTGTAGTTCATGATATGATTACTTCTGCATACTTGCGTTCAAGTACTAAAAACTTATATTTTTTATTAACAGGAAAGCAAACGATTATCAACGATAAAATATTTTTGGAAAATTAATAAACAAAGTATTACTAAGTCATTAGAGGAAGAAAAGGATGGAATTGTGGTAATAGATAATAACTTAAAGGATCATGAAGATGATGATATTGGAAACAGTAATTTTTTGGAATCAGATAAAAATTCATCTTCCACTTCTTCTACAGTAAAAACCGATTATCCATCAATGATAATTTACTTCCTGTTTCTCTTCATTTTACTTAACGATAACAAATAAGTCAACGGAAATATATTATTATGATCATGTGTTGTTTGCATTAAAATACATTAGTCAATATTCTATATATATATTTTTTTGAATATTGTATATCCCGGGCTTATGATTTTTAGCTTGTACATAAGTATATGTAGTTACATTGAAATAGATACATGATTGAGTAATTCTGTTCCACTATATTTTTTTAATTAAAATATTATAATTTTTTTTTATTCTTGCTGATTTAATTATTGCATTACTACCATTCTATATATAATTAAACCTTCTATCGCTATTTATTTTATGATTTTCTGCATTTTTATTAGCTATCATAAATATGCTACACTGTAACTAAAAAATTGGGTATGTATATAAAATACGTTAGCATTAAGTAGTATCCACTGTACACTTAACATTAAATAAGATGAATTTAGGGGTCTGACTGTAATCGCGATCACAATACTGTATAGAACATTCCAATGAATCTCTTATCTTTATTTACAAACTTTTATTGATATTAAAGTTTCGACACTTTGAATATGAGTGACCATTTAGATAATTGGCGTGCAACATTACTTAATTTTTAACGAATCTAATTCACAAAGCCACATCTTCCATCAACGTAAAAATGTCAAATTTAATCAAAATGATTCCAAGATAATGATGATTTTTGTTTATTACATCTCATTATGGTTGTAAGTCGGATCGAACTCACACATAGTCCATTTGTTCATTAAAGGAAAAAAAAAAACATAGTGAAGGATCGAAAATCCATATGTTGAATATAGAGATGGGCACGCGCGGGATTTTCCAGATAAATTATCTGGCTAGCATTAATCTAATATCTGGCCTGCATTAAAATATTTACCATAAATTCTCGAAATAATGGCATGGGCGTTATTTCGAATTTTGGCCCAAATTAAGCTTCATTCGGGCCGAAATTCGAAATAATACGGTAGAACAAGAAATTTGATTTTCAATAATAATTTTTTCTTATTTTTTATCGGACGCAAAAAATTAAGAAACCCGCGTGACGCATGGGATTTTTGAAGAAACTGCGATTTGCCCATCTCTAGTTGAATAGCTTTATGTTTATTTTATTTTATTTTATTGTTCGATCATTTTATGATTTTAACATAACTCAAAAAGTAAAATAATATTAAATTTGAAATATATATCTAACCTTATTTTGTCAATTGTATTAAATAACTGACAACCAAATATTCCTTATTTTTCTCAAGTTATTAAAGAAAACGATGCTTCGATTCTTTGCTATTTCAATATTTTTGACCCTCATCGCATTTACTACATCCTTTCCATCATTAATTTTTCGACATGATTCACTCATTCAATGCGAAGGTACTGTACATTTTCAAATGAAATTACTATCGCCTTTTATAAACCTAATCCTGCTGTTTCTAGAGAAATATGACAGTCACTATTGCTGGAATAAATACAGTAACAGTTCAAGAAGGAGCTACATTTACCAAGGAAATCATGCATTTGAACATATTATGGATTTTTGTAAAGAATGGGTTGAAGTTAACAGTGATAAATGTCCTGTTACACCTTGACATTATTTCCCTGTATAATGAAACATTTACAGGTCTCCCTAAGAATATTACTATTGCATATGATTTGATAGTTACAGTGAAAGTATGTATTATTTCGTTTAATTATAATTATAAACCAATCATTTATGATTTATAAAGTTTTATTATTTTTATTATTAGTTTCGAATCCTGAAAATCCGAAAACAGACCTGCCTTGTATTAAAACGAAGTTTTATGTTTATTATCCATGATTATTATTACTACATTGTTATTTTATCGTTTATTACGTACTCTTCGGTTTTGGTTTTCAATATGTTTATAAGCTTATTTAAATATCAAACATTATAATATCGATATATGAAATTTATTATAAAGTTACATAATATATTGAACTTTTATATTTATTATATAAATAAAGTTGCATAACATATTGCATCCGGAAAATATATACCAGGTTTGTACGCTATAGTGGCTGAATAGGTATTGTATTTTCCAATACAATGTTGTCTTGGCATTTGTAAATGAATTCGGAATAATCTGTTTTTTAACTATTATCATAATTCCTGAAACTTATAAAAATTAGCCAAATGATTTTTCGGCCAATTCGACTAAGTTAATAATCTCACCATGATAGATTCTATAAATTGATACAACCGGATTTAAAAAAATTTCAGATCATGTGATTTAATAATCGCGACATAATCGTTAATAATATGTGGATAATGTAAATTACATGATTTGAAATTTTTTTAGATGTTTAATTAGGTAATTGATATAAATATTATATTGATACGAATATCTCAAATCAAATACAAAAACATGTTTTTAAAACATCTTCAATAGTAAAAACTTTTTTTTAGAAAGCTTAACATTCGAAAATTGCAAACACTTAGATATTAGCAAATATTAATAAAGTTGATACAACGCTTGCTTTTTTGGTTAATATCTTGAGCTTACTTAGCAAAATTAACCGTAGGTGCACCAATTAGAATCGATGTTTATGTGAGAGAACCAAATTATTTTCGAAATCCTAAATAATAAATAATTTAAGATGCTGAAAAATAATTCTGATGGGTAACATGAATTATGACTATGTCGAGGAAATTGAAAAATAATTTTGGATGCTGAAAATATCGAAAATGATTTGGGCGCTGTTCAGTAGAAAGGGGGGAAATCTACATTTTGGTTAAAAAATTTTTATTAGCTTATTAAATGAAGCATAACCAGTTATATAATTCTAATCAAAAGTTATATTATGTTTGTTTAATAATTTTTTAAGTTTTACGTATGACCTTTACCATCTAGTACTGTATATAGTACCCGGTGTGACAAATTGTTTACGTCACATGGTACATGTAAATAATATTCTAAAAAATAGATCTACATTATTTGTCACCGGGTATTGTTTTGATCTACAAAAACGTGATTTTCTCAAAATTTTTAATCTAATCGCGCCCATTTATATTACTGAAAATGTTTGAGTAATTACAAACTGTCAAATAAATTTTAACCGATTAGTTAGTCAATTATTTTGCTTTTTGATTAATCTATTTTATCAGCCAATCGATTATATGAATAAAATTAAATTTTATTAAATTTAAAAAGTTTATTTTTAAATTAGGTAAAAGAATATTTCGATTATGGTTCTGCAAGTAAACATGTCGGGTAAAATTGGCATTGTGTCAAGCACTGTTAGCACTACGCCGGGAAATACTATTGCCAAAAGTATAATCAAATAGATTCTTTGTTTGGTAACATTGTGCAATATTAAGCTGTGCTTTTGGGTTATATCTTCAGTAGATTTCAAAAGCCATTCAAATAATTTCTAGAAATATACACATTGGTTCTGTAAAAATTCAGAATAATTCCATTATAAGATTTAATACGTTGCGTACTTTGTATTCCCGCGTTGAACACACGATACATGAAACAAAGAACCCAGGCTTCGCAGCACCAGTAAAGATCAAGTCCATTCAAATGCCTTATTAGAAACACTTATACTATTCAGGTAACATTATCCAATTTTGATTGGCCACTTGAATTTCCATTCTCGGCAGATTTCAAGAATTATTTAAGTGCTTTCTTTTCATCTTTAGATCTTTAGAAGATCGTTATAATAAACTCTTGTACGAGTATCACAATTAGAATGAAAAGATAAATTGAATATCTTGTACTGCATAATTTTGGATCTCGAATCGATTCATTCGCAGAAGCTTGTTCATAGAGATTTATACAGCGCCACATTATATTGGTATAGATAATAATCATTACGACCGGGAATTGGATCTTTTTCTAAGCCAACTTCTAAATTTATTATCGTTTTTCACATATACCAATTCCATATTTATAACAAATAGCTGTTTTAAACATCCCACTTGGACAGCCGGCTTGCGCAGATCTTAGATAATGTTCAAATGCTTTCTTCTCGTCTTTTTCGACCCCAATGCCCCAGTTGTAGCAGAATCCGTCTCCTAACTCAGCAGCCTTTTGATAACATTCGAATGCTTTGTATTCATCTTTTTTAACATCAACACCATACTGGTATTTCCATCCCTTATAACATAACGATTCGTCCTCAATTTTGCTCTGACTCATCGTTCTTGTGGAATAAAAATTGAGAAATTAATTTTTCATCTTTGTAACATATTTTTCGCATGCTAGCTTTATTGTTTTTATAAATAAACTATATTAGGTAATTGTGTAATCCAATGATTTTTCATTTTTTTCATTTAAAGTTTTGTTAAACAAAATTAAACTATCCGGGTATATAATTTATTGTACACATCTATTGGTTCCCAGGCCTGCCGAAGAATTAATTAAAATTGATTTTTGCTATACGTCATACAATTAATCGTCATAAAATTTATTGAAACCTAATTAATGTCGAAATTAAATTCAATTTTCTTTCACTGGTGTAGCTTGATCTTTTAAACTGCGAAAAATCAAAAATCATATAGTGATGAACATACCATATTATTGCGCTTTGCAAAAAGATGTGATCACAATGTCGTGTGAAAATCGGAGATTTTGTAGATTTTAAGAATTTTACCAATTTCAGTAAATATAAATATAACTGATCGAAAATATGAATTAATAGAATCTCAGAAGTTTCCTCGTTCATTATTTGTAAGATATTGGATCATGCAATTATGATTATGATTTTCAAGTCATTGTTGGCTAACTGAGTTTTAATTCGAGATTGTTGTGCTTATGCAATAACAAAAAATAACAAGAAGAAAAAAATCTATGATCATGAGAGTTTGCACGATAACACAAAAAATCATGGGGTCACATCTTTTTGCAATTAATTGACCAATTGTTATTGCGCCACTAATCAATTAAATAATTGAGCTTGAAAAATTTCTTCTACAATCAATCATTCGGTAGGCATCAATTCAGAATCGACATGTGTCATTTGTATAACCTGCCATTTTGGATTAATAAAAAAAGCTTTTTATGTAAACAATATTTATTACCCAACAATGAACATGACAATTAAAAATTTTTATTTTATTTTATAAAAAAATCATTACACGAAATTGTGCCTCTTTTTAAAAAAAAATTATTGCCGACGATATAATACGTATACGGAGCGAATTATTCACGCCTAAAAATTGAAACCCAGTTGCAGCATTAAATCGTGCTCATTTAGAAGCAATTCATTACTTTCAAGGTGATATGCAGGATTGTGAATAGACAAAAGAAAAGTCAATAAACACAATAGACAGTCTAATGGTCTAATAGTGTCCAATCGTCATTAGACAATAGACAAATAGATATATAATTAAAGCAATCTGATTGGCTAATTTGGATTTCATAAACTATATAACTATATATATATATATAATATATTAGATTAAATAGATATTAGACAAATAGACATTAGGACAATAGACACCAATAGGCAATTAGACAATTAGATAAAAATATTTTCGATTAGGCTATGTCCATTCACAACCCTGGTGATATGGAGCAAAACTTCATTTAATAAAAAAATAAATAAAAAAGCTTATTTTATTTGGTTCGAAACTTTGGAAGATTGAACCGCGAGTATATATATATATATATATATATATATATATATATATATTTTTTAACACCTAATTGCCCTAACCAAAGCGAATACTTTTACAGGCAATTATTTTGTATGTTCCACCTTATTGATATTAAAAAATTGACAAGCTGGCCGCTATTCCAAACGTCAAAATCTGCAATTCATCTAACGATTTGAACTTTGTAAATTTGTAAAACGCCCATGTTTTTTCATACGGTATTTTTTCGTTTTTGACTAATATATGTTTCTAGTAATTATTCAAGAGATTCCCAAGCCAAAATGAGGATTTATTGTCATGATTATTAAATAAGAAAAAAAAATCTGATTATACTTAAAGAGTAAATTGTTGGTTTTTTTTTGCTTTATAAATTGAAGCTGCCTTATCGTTAGATGTAATTCATACTTGATCGGTGAAATTCAAAAAATGACGCATATCGATTTCAAGTTGACAAAACAATAAACGATGCATAACAAGAGTATATTCTAAAAGAACTAGTCTACTAAGAGAATATCTTAGACATGTATAAAACTGTTTACGTATTATCAAAGATTACTTACTTTTTTTAAGTCATTAGCATTAGTGATTAAATTCCTTACGCACAGCTCACTAATCCAACACTCGCAAATGAGTTAATTCATTGTTCAGGTGAAAAGGCAAGTTAATGAAAAAAAAACTAAAAAAGCAATGCAGAATAACAGAACTATTTGCTCAAGATTAGAAATAGGTAAACCTTGTGTTCACACGTGAAATTAATAATATAATATAAAATATAATATAAAATAATAGTATATCTTTACTTTATATTTGCAAAAAGGAAATTTTAATAAAAAAAGTGAATTAACACGGAGAAATGAACTACGTCCCGGTACGCACTATATCTAAATTTATTAATTTCTGTACGCCATCAAATAATCGTACTGTATTTATTTATTTTACTATCTACGAGAATGTATCACATATCGCACAATTGTGCATATATAATAAGTCTAATTTTAACGAGACTTAGACTTTAAGCATAGTCTTGTGTATCATAAGTGGGTAAAATCAAAGAGAAAATAAAATGGTTAGATCGAATTAATCTTGATGCATAAATTTCTTTTTGGTATAATCCAAAAGCCCATTCTCATTACGTATTTGTTTTGAAACAGGTTTTGAGTAGAACTTGACGTAGTTTAGTTTAGACCGATTTAAAAGCCACCTTGTAATTAAAACAAAGCTCATTATAAAGTCAAGTCGTAGATTAATTATGCATTAGAATGTGAATTTCGAATTATTTCTCACAGTGCATAACGATAATCAGTGCATAATCTGAAAAAAAAAAAAAAGTAGAGTAGCTTTGTTTAAGTAATTGCATAACAATACTAAATAGAAATTTTTTATACGTATCGGTATCTGAAAAAAATAAGATTACTCTTATGGTCAAAAAAAGAGCATAACATTTTTGGAAATTCATTTACTATTTCTTATCTCAATTTTATTGTCTTATTTCTAAAAGTGCATGTGTGAGAATGGGTATATCTCCGGAGCACCTGTTTTTAATTCTTTTATTTTAATCACTTTGTATCACATTAGCAAGTACAAACCTGCCATTTACACGCTATTGTTTCTAAATATGATCTAACTAATAGCGAAAAAAGTATAATAAAAAACATGTCAACCACAGGTTGGTGTAATCAAACACTTCAATTTTTTAATTCGTATCATTCGTCATGGCTGTTAAGAGAATCAATAAAGTATGATAATTTATCGATGTTAAAATATTTTTGTCTATTATTTTATTAAACTTTAAGAATTTTATCAATGATTTTTACCGTTTTGTGGCTTATGTATTATGAACGTCTATAACTCTTTATTTTAATCGTTAGGAATTGCAAGAATTAGAACGAGGTTCAACACCATTTTGCAGTGCTGGCCCTGTTGGCGAGGATCTTTATTATTGGCAAGCCACGCTTCTGGGGCCTGTAAATATTTCCTTTTCGATCTACCCTTATCTATCATTTAACGTTGTTAGTGCCTTTTTATCAAATAACCATTTTATATACAGGATGATGGCCCATACGCCGGTGGTGCATTTACGCTTAACGTTCAATTTCCAACCGATTATCCATTCAAGCCGCCTAAAGTATTTATCTAATTCTGCTGACAGTTATCAATTAATATATATAATATTAATATTAATTTTACTGTTTAACATATGTATAGGTAACTTTTATAACTAAAATTTACCATCCAAATATTAATAATAATGGTGACATATGTTTAGATACTCTAAAAGATCAATGGTCTCCTAGTTTAACTATCAGTAAAGGTAAATAAATGTTGTGCAACATGTAAATTTGGTATACTAATCCATTTTCCATAATGTTGATTTGGAAATTACATTTCAGCAATTATGACAGTTTCTTCTATAAGATTATAATTTCGTTAATATCAAACCTCTAGGTTTCATTTATCATTCATTGTAACATGCCATGTAAATTTTTTTTTACATTAATTTTGACGTTATATATATTTCTTTTCAGTGTTTATATACATTCATACATTGTTGAGTAATCCTAATATAGGTATGCATGTTTATATAATTTTATCACGAGAATTAATTAATTTTGTTATCATTACAATTATAATTTTTTCTACTATATTTACTATATTTTAATTAGATGAGCCACTCATGCCTGAAGTCGCTCATATATATAAAACTGATCGTCCACGTTATGAGGAAACTGCTCGAGAATGGACTCGCAAACATGCCAGTGAGTGTATACATATTTCCTTTCTTTATATTCATTCGTATATTCGTTAATATGAATTAACCTTTTGTCAAATTCTTTCAGTGTAATAATTATTATGGTGTCAACCATTTTTTTCTAAGGTCTTTGGGAAATTTTCATAAAATTCCTTTTGATGTTTATTTGACAGCTGCCATTTTAGTAAGCTTTGTTATTTTAGAGGTTCTTTTAATATTATCGTTATAATTATATTTTGATAATCAGTTTTTTCAACTTCAATATACTTTTTGTTTATCATTTCGAGAGTGTATATTATATTTTCTTATTAATAGTATTTTTTAACAATTATTATTATATTATTTACTATTATAAAGTGAGTCCATGTTCAATTTTATTTTATTCTGGTGTTACAAAATTGTTATTATATGGGGTCTTTGCCTTGAAAATCGAGTTACGGAATATAGTAAATCATATGTCCCATACCTGATTTTCAAGGCAAAGACCCCATATGATGAGGCTGTGCAATTTCAAATTTATCCAAAGTTTATCGTGATAAACTCTGTTAATATAAAGTGAGTTATTAGAGCGTTCATGAGTAAACACAGATTAAAAATTTAGTTAACAAAGATCGCACTTAGGACCGTAGACAAGTGTGCATTTAAAGATAGTATGCAATTACAGTATAACATTTAACTAGTAAGGATAACATATATGTGATTAACTTAGCGTTAGCCCTCTAGTTAGTGTACTTTTCATAGTCGAATTAAATTTTATTACTTTTTCTGTGATAAATAAGCAGATTTATACCTAGTAAAGATAAATTTTGTAGACTACCACTGATTATATTTTATAAGTTACGTTTTTAATAAAGTATCGATATGAGTATATTCGTCTCAAATTAACAACTTCCTCTATTATAGATAACGATTGTTTTATTGGCCATATCCAAAAAACGTGATCCAAACAAGTTAAAGCTTATGATCGAGCATGTTGTAATTGTTTTTGCAGATCTTAATAGATCATGACATCAGTTTAGCGTAATTCAAGTTCATTCGTCTATCTTAACGTTTTTGGTTGGTCGTATTCAAAATTTGATCTTCAGGTTATGATCAAATGTCCTTGCACAATTTAAATTTACTACCGATCATCTGATCCCTGCTATTATTATTTTTTTTGGTCCTATACGAATTGGGTTCACATTTTGTGTAAATTACAACAAAAGGATTAGTAAATAAACATAATTACTACTTAACAATCGATTCGATCAAAAAATTTAAGAAATTCACTTCGTTTTTTATTCGCATCGATTAATAATGATTACTAGCTCTTAGGCCCGGGTGTTGCCCCGGGTATGAGGTTCTAATTTTTTTAATTCTTAGGCCTAAATTACATTAGCTCTCAGGGCCCGGGTGTTGCCCCGGGTCTGAGGTTCTAACTTTTTTCTAATTCTTAGGCCTAAATTATATTAGCTCTCAGGGCCCGGGCATTGCCCCGGATATGAGGTTTTAATTTTTTTGTTTTGTTTTAGATCTGGGTTTAAATAACCTAGTTTAGATTTAAATAAGCCTATCTTGGGTTCAAATGAACCCGTCTTGGGTTGAAATGAACCCGTATTGGGTTCAAATGGACCCGTCGTTGGGTTCAAATGGACCCGTCGTTGTGTTCAAATGAACCCGTCGTTGGGCTCAAATGGATCCGTCGTTGGGTTCAAGTTAGGGTTTGCAATGGGTCGGGCCAAACCCGGTAATTTGTGGGTTGGGTCGGGCCTGGGCCCAAAATTTAAGCCCGTGGGTTGGGCTTGTAAAATAATGGACCGGGCCTGGGTTTTATAAAGAGGCCCGATAAAACCCGACAATCCCATTAAAAATATATAGTTTTTACTAGTTACAGGCCTATTGTATTTAAATTAGATGTTAAAATTTTATTTCTTTTTGAACTATAGTTTTTTTAATTTAGTTAGCTATTTTTATAATTTCTGAAATATCTAATAAAAAATATTCTAGTTAATTTGGTAAAGTTTGTAATTTTTAGCATAATATAATATAAAAGATTCAAGAATATACATTTTAATAATTAAGTTATTTGAAAAATATAATTAATTATCTTAGTGTTCCAAATCAAAAATTGATTAGTTGTCAAGTTGCCAACTAATCAATAATAATTTTAGATTGTTGATGATTAATTAATTAGTAATACTATTTGCAAATTATGGATTGAGCTAGGCTTGTTGGGCCGGGCTTGGGTTGGACCAGGTTTGGGCAGGGTTGGGATATGCTTTGGTTGGGTTGGGTCGGGCTGGGCTAAGCTCGGGCTGGGTTTGGGCTTATATTTCAAACCCGTGATGAATTGGGCCAGGCTTGGGCTGAGTTTATAATTCTACAGGCTGGGCTTGGGTTTGAATAAACCCGGCCCAACCCGGCCCATTGAGAACCCTAGTTAAGAGCAACTGAATACAGCTTTTTCTCAACATCTTCAATAATAAATACATGGTTTTAAGAATGATATAATGATTTTTCTGAGCTTGTTTCTATTTATATTGAAAAGTGAAAACTGATTCCATATCATAATCTGATTTAAAATTAGTGTATAGATACTGTCAAAAATGAACTAGTAGCAGTAACATTTCACATTAAATACTAATAAACTACTTTGTTTATTTTATGCTTTGTAGATATCACTGTCTGTGGTATATGGAAAAGCAGTCAGTCCATGTAGAGCTAAACAAGTACAGAGACCTGTAGAGTTCAAATTGCATATAAAGGTAAAGCTACGAGAAAAAAAGACATTGGTAGAACTACACATAATTCAAATACTGCAGATTATATACAGCATCTTCATTATATAAATTAATACTAAGATACCACACTGAACAACACTGATATTGGTTTCACACAAGATATTTATTTTGAAGAAGTAAATTTTAATGGTTCGACAACTTGGTCAACCTCTAGTTCCTTTCTTATATTGATTATACTGTTACATTATTACCAAATTGTCTTATCATATTATTTATATTGGTAGAAGCACAAGTTCAAGCTCAATTGTATACACAGTTAATATGAATCAGATATGACTTAATTTTTATATATAAATTTTGCCTTTATTTTATATTAAATTCAGATTCAAGTACTTGATACAAAATCACCATTTTCCTAGTTTATATATATTTGACTGCTGTTCAATAAACAAAAATTTTTGAGTGCAATTTAGCTAGCATAGCGCTTCTGCTCTTGCGCATTAGAGTATATACAATAAGTTGCTAAAGAAAGTAAATTTGAGGAAGATCAATTATCTAATTAAATATTAATACAACTGAAATTGTACAGATAAGTAATTTAGCATAACACCAACGCTAATAATTGCTTAATTAAATAAATAAATTGCTTTTAAGCGTATATTCTATGTAATAATAATGGATTTGCGTGTTGTACTTTTGTCAATCTATGCCATGCTATGATCTTATTTAATTAATAAAATTAATTAAAAACATGAAACTAATTTATATAGTCTTCAGAAAGACCAACACTAGTCAAAATTGAAAATTCAACGTGTCGATTGAATATTGTTTAACAAATTGAATTTTTTTATGTTCGGTGCAAGGCTGGTGTTGTAACCATGGGAGAGACTTGGCTAATATAAGGTCAAATTAGCTTAGAGTTACAACATAGGGTATGCAAGATGAATGTTATAAGGGATTCAGATTTAATGATAATATGTTATTAAAGAATGTATTTACTTTATATAGTTATTTTAGTCAGAGCAAAAAGAATTAATTAATTTTAATTCTTTTGTAAAGAATAGTATTGTTACTATATAATAAAAGTTGGAAAATCTAATATAAGCTTTATAATAGAGCTGAATTTAGCTCCACCTACATGGTAAATCATCTTTTCTTGGAGCTCTAATAAAAGTTGTAGAGCTGATTTTTGTGGTTCTAATAGTAGTAAGATTGTCAAAATTGGCCTGGTAGTTGCTAAGATATCTTGATTTTCTCTTTACAATCATATAAAATTTCTTTAAAATTTTTAAAGAAATTTTATATGCTTGTAAAGAGAAAAATCAACATCTACCAGGCCAATTTTAATGATCTTACTACTATTAGAACCACAAAACTCAGTTCCACAACTTTTATTAGAGCTCCAAGAAAGGTTATCTTGAAAAAAATGATGACTTACCTTGTGGGTGGAGCTGGATTCAGGTTTATTATAAAGCTTATATTAGATTCCCCCAACTTTTATTATAACAATACTATTCTTTACAAAAGAATCACGAATTAATGTTCTTTATTAACACAAGCATTGTATTTATACATTCTTAGACTAATACGGTCTGAAACCATAATTCTAAGTTTTGAACCACCATTGGTGGTCTCAGACCAGAATCGAACCATCATTCAAGACCCTATGGTCTGAGGGTAGGGTTTAGGGCATGGGAAAAAAATTAGGCATGCCCCTCATGCCCATGGGCATGCCCTTTCTAAATCATGTGACTGATATATAGTTTGCGAATTCGCAACATGCTAAAAACTTCATATAGGGTGTTAGTAGAACCAAGCAAATTGTTTCTAAGTAAATTTTTTTAAATATTAAGTTAAAATAACTAAACAACTATTAAACCATACTTGATAAAGAGTTTTTTATTTGTTGTTTATATACTTTAACTTAATGTTTAAAAAATTTATTCGGAAACAATTTGCTTGGTTACTATTAGGGATGGAAAATGTTTTAAAACAGAATGTTTTAAAACATGTTTGTTTGATTTAAAACTGTTTTTTAATGATTTAAAACATTCTGACGTAATCATAAACATAACAATGGAATAGTATTTATTTAATTGATTAATACATTCTGACATAATCATAATATGTAACAATGGGATAGTATTTATTTATTTAATTAATAATGTCAAAATACAATTTTTTCGTTACCTCTTTTTTAAGATATAAAATTATAAACAATCATGTACCATAGGAGACCTTCATTAAAAGAAATTTGCTTGAACTTTACAAAAGTTACAGAAACTGACAAAATTGGTCGAACTACACCTCGCCAAAAGTGTAACTACTGTGGAGAGGACTTTGTAGATTTAGTCGCTCGATTAAAGGATCACTTATATAGATG